TCTCAGAGCTGACTGTGGCCCTGAGATCTTGCAAATAAGTTAATATCCACAAACCCTAATTTAGATTTTGCTTCCATGTGCAGTCACAAGCATTTTTCCTCATTGCTAAGTTTTCTGGTGCCCCAGCTCTGTCAGTTGTGTGTCATGCCATGTGTGCCTGTGTGGCATCTTGGAAGGCAAAAGGACCTCAAAAGGTTGGGTTTGCTGTGCTAACCCTGCCTCATCTTCCTGGGGAGATGAAAATCTGTGTGTTAACATGGACCAACAATTGCCAGCAGATGGATCAGCCCTGTTAAAATGAGAAGTTAAGGTACTTGCAGGCTTTGCCTTCAGCCTGGGTTGGTTTTGGTTTCTTTTGTGCAGTTCTGTAGTTTAATAGGCACGTTCATCCCTTTTGCACCAGAAATTAATCTTCATTTTCTCTGACCATTTCCATGCTCTTTGAATTCCATCCCCTTTTTAGAGCAGTGCTGGTTTATCACTCAATAAGCTGCTTTGGGGAAGTTTGTCCAATGAACTGCTTTTGAGAGAGATTGAGGGGTCTGGGGAGACTTGTACTGTACAAGCAAGTGCTTTGCTGCCTGGAAGAGTTAATTTTTTTTTTTTTTCTTTCCAGGACACAATAGTACCAGAAGAATGGAAGAAATGTGGAAAAACAAAGCAAATGCTTTCAGAACAGAAGCAAATAAATAACTGAAAGGCCAGAAGAAGGAAGGCAGAAGATAATTCTTTTTTATACATTAAGTCAAAAGGGTGCCAGTTAAACTTTTTTTAAAATCTTTATTTTCATCATTGTGTTCATGCTACTGGAGTGCTTTTCATATGAATCTGGAAAATCTTTTCTTCCCTGGATCCTCTCCCCTTCTCCCAGGACATTTGAATTTCTTTTTGAGAAAAAGGAAGAAGAAAATACCAATCTGCTTTTTCCCCAGGTGCCCCTTCCTCATCCTAAAGATTTGTGAATAAAGAGGAGGAAAGGATGGTCCTGAGTGTTGTGTTTTGGCTGTCTCAGAGGCAGTGATTGGAAGCTGGGCTCACCTGAGAATGAAAAGAGCTTTTTCTGGGGGGTAATTGAGTGTGAGTCATTGCTGAGTGTGAAGCTTCCTGTTCTTTCATGTCCTTTCCCTGGGGGCTGTGTTTATTGGGGGGACTTCCCTCCTGCCTGTCCCTTGGCTGAGGCTGTGGCTGCCTTCCCCACTGCAGGCTTGTCTCTCCCTCTCCAGGCTGTGCCCAGCTGCTCTGGGCCCTTGGGGCCAGGCCTTGTGGGAGCCAGCAGTGGTGCTGGTGTGCCTGGCTGTGTCTGACCAGCAGTTTTGGGGGTCCTCAAGGGGCTTCACTTTCTTTCCAGCCTCTGGCAGTTACCTCACTCCAAATACCAGTTTGATGGAGGCTGTTGCTTCTGGTTTTCTATGAAATCAAAAGCCAGGTGTCTGCTGCTTGCCATGTGGCCATGTTTGAGTTACTCAAATTCTAATTTCTTAATTACTCCCTTCAGGACCACCAAACGTGCTGAGGCAGCAGCTTTGGGTGTTATGAAGGACTCAGAGGTAGTAATGAGCAAAGGCCTAAATCTCCTCCTGATGAGCAACTTTCACATGGAAAACTTAACAGCTGCTCCCTCCCCTGCTCCTGTGCATCCTGTGTCAAGGGTAGTGGCTTTAAAGGCCTTTTGGCAAAGGAGCCTTATCAAATGTCTTCTGGAAATCCAGGAACATTACATCAGCAAGCAAGCATGTGCATAGAGGTGTGGAGCTGAATCCTCCAAAGCATTTCACGTGCGTGAGACGTGACCCCACTTTATTAAATCCACCTTGTCTCTTCCCCATGCTGTTGCTCACACTTAGCTCACAGTTCCTGCTCTTTGTAGCTGTTCCTACCTGCTGGTTCAGTGTAAACGTTAGCATGGACCCACAGAGGTTTAATGAACTTCTTTGACCTCCCCTGCACTCCTTCTAACACCAGATCTCAGGCTGCATTCAAGTCCTCTGGGACTAAAGGAGTCTTAGACAAGAAATAACTAAGCTACTATTCATAGTCATTTATCCTGAAATATTTTTTTAGCCTTGTATTTTGTTACTGCTCACTGAGCAGCTTTGTTTTGTAGCTATTTCTTTCTGCTGGTGCTTTGTGCTAGGACAGAACTTGCCCTGTGCCTATAGAGCTGCAGCATGTTATCCAAGGAGAGCAGGGATGCAAAAGGAGAATCGTGGAGTGCCCCTGTAATCTATCCTCTCTAAGCTGTGTGTGTTGCTATTGATTGTACTACTTGTAGATTAGGAAAGATTGGTTTTGTTATTTTGATCTTTTAGTCCTCAGATATTTTTTATTTGCTTTATTTGTTTTTATATTTAATTTTGCAGAGATTATTTGTCTCCTCATTTTGAAGCAAACTGAACCTCCAAAGGAGTCTCTTTTATTCCAAATAGCTACACTCACCCATCCATTTAATCACAGACTTAATCACCCAAACACTTTCTGAAATGTTTTTGAAAGGGTTTTGATTTTATTGGCAGTATCCAATCCAATGTTTGCATATGCCTTTTATGCCACTTAACAGAGTTTAAATTCATTTTGCTACTATGTCTACTCACTGCTTTAGGAATCTTCATTTTTTGTAATTCCTATCCTTGGAGGGAGTAAGTCCTAATGGCTTTGAGTGTGTTGTTACAGAACAGGTTTACAAACCCATTTTGAACCAGGCTACTCAGGTGATTCTTCCTTTGTGTATTCCTGCACTGTGGAGCAGAAGGATGGCTCTGGCAGCTGCCTGCCCATGCAAGGTTAGCAGTTATCCATCAGTGCTCCTGCTGCTGTCACAGCTTCACTGCTCTCCCTCAACATCCTCTCAGTGTTCCCCATCCTGCTGGGTGGTTTGTAACACTTCCCTGGAGCTGGAATTGTAAAACCTGAACAGGGAGGCTGTACCAGGGAGGGAGTTGGTGCAAGGATGAAATCATTTCCGTGCACACTGGAGCCTCCTGTCCTAAAACATGGCACCTGGTGATGGTAACTACTGCAGACTAACCGGAATTGTTGGAGTGCAAGGAGGGAAGATTTCAAAGGCCTTAACACACATTTATGTATCACTGTGTTTCCATCCTGGTGTTGTTATTGGTACTGGAGCTGGTGCCTTCGTTAGCCCAGTTTTGAGTCATCCTTGGTGCCCTTGACAGCTGTCTCTGAGGAGCATCTTCCATTCTGGGCCCAGAATCAAGAGAAGGTCTCAACAAAAGAGCCATCTTGACCTGCTGTTGGACAGGTTTATTTAGAATGACTCTTATTTCCTGCTGCTGATGGGAAAACAGACCCCATCCTGGTGTTATTTACATTTCTGAAGACATAACTATTACACAAACAACAGGGGGATTGGGGTGAGAGGGAGCAAGGAGCTGTATGATGTCACTGGGCTAATAACTTACTTCTGTTAAAACATTTACAGCTGTAACTGTAGCCACGGTGGATTCAGAGCCAGGGGATGGCACTTAACAGGAGGTTGAGTTGAAACAGGGATGTCCTTTAGCTCTGGCAGAGCTGTGACTTCAGCTTGAACTCCTCAAGGCTGAGCAGGAACTGTAGCTGCACATTTTAGAGTTCATTCTGTGTCAGGCAGCCAGGCAGCAGCAGCCCTGGGCAGTGCTTCCCATGAATGGGAGATGTGTGGATTCATCTCTCACCTCACCCTGATCCTTGCTGTGTGTGGTTGTGCCATCAGCATCAATTTAGAGAACGCTCTAATCAATTTACTAAGTTGCCTAAAGGTGCCTTTTGGTGGCCTCATATTTATTAATCAGGCCCTCAAACAGAAAGATGACTTGGCAGAAATTTTGCCACACTTTGTGATTTGAAACCTTAATTAGCAGACAGAATATCCCCAGGATTACAAGTGTGTTGCTTGTTTTAGTCTCTGTGTAAAGCAGCCTGAGGTTAAACCACAGAGGTTTTTTTTTTCTGATTTAGTATAGAGCAGTATTTCAAGAGGGGAGTTAAACTGTAAAGGCTGGAGTAAATTAAGTAGTGCTTCAGCACTGCATTCCTTTGATCAGATCTGAGGAGTGTATGCATCAGTTTCCAGCTGCTCACATCTGGGAGTGTCTTCACTGCCATGAAGGGCTCACTGTACAGTTTGGTCCATGAGTTCTGAATTATTCTAGACAGAAAGAGGAGGAAAAGAGAATTACCAGAAAACTTCATAAGCACACACAGAAATTTTTTCGTCCTTTGGAGGTTTTTCCTGACCTTATCTGTGGAAAGGTAACCAAGTCAAGCATGGCAAGAGAGATGCTGGAATATTATGCTTTGCCAGATGAATCCACAGGTGTGATTTATGTAGAGTTCTGATCTTCCCTCTCTTCCCCAGCCCCTCTTTTGTTCAGTGTGCACACTCATCTCCCCACACCCATTTGTATTGTGCTGGCAGGATTGGACAGGCTTAATTTCTGTGGGACAGCTGATCAAGTGAAGGTACTCCCAAGGATGGATGGTTTGCTCTCTCTCATTCCCCCAGGAATGGCAAGACTTGGAGCATAAATCAAGTTCCAGCTGACTGTTTTCAGGAGTGAGGGATACAGAAAACAGTAAAACTTTCTCTCCAGTGCAGGGAAAACCTGGCAGGTCCCAGGGACCTAGAAGCAGGTTCTGCTGCTGGAGAAAGACTTTTGTCTGCCTTGAGCCTGGCCTAGACCCTCAGGCACTCCATCTCAGATAGCTTTGCAAGGCTGCTTTGGGTTCCTGCAAGTTCCCAGACATCCACATGCAGCTTCACAGCACTTGTGTTCTGTTTGTTCAAACTCAGCAGAGTTTAGGTACTTGACAATATTGACAGGGAGCTTTTTCCCCCCTTAAATTGCAGCAAGCCCCTTTTTCATGGGCAGCAGTGGGAGCTGGCATCGCTGAAGGAGAGCTTTCAAACCTTGAGCAGTGCAGCAGCAGTGAGTTATGCACAGGATTGAGCAGGGAATGGTACTCACCAGAGCATGGGGAGGTGGAAAAGGGAGAAGTATTTACATGAGCTTGGCCAGGGAGCTGGGAAAGCCTTCTAGCCCACTGCTGTCAATGTCCTGAGGCCTGCCAAGGAAGAGGACAAGGATGGCATCACTGGGATCAAGAGAGAAATTCTCTTTTCTGCTACTATTTTACTGGATTACAAGGCTGAGAAGACAGCAGAGTGATGTGCTGCTGTGTGGTGCAGGCTGGCTCAGGACAGGCTGTTCTTATCTGCACCCTGCTTCTGAGATCAGCCTTATTCTTTCCCTGACTGTTCCTGAAACAACACTTAATTCAGTAGGTTCACACCTGCCAGGCAGGCAGCAACAAGGACCTGGGTGTGTTCCTGCAGTGAGCAGACAATGACCCGATTCCCACCCACCTTTGGCTCTGCAGGATGGCTCCCAGGAAGTCCCTCAGCACCATCTGCTGCTGGTATTGGCTGTCCATCAGGATGCTGTCGGACTGGCGCCTGCCCAGGAATTCCTGCACCCCTTCCCCTGGGCTGCTCTCGCTGCTTCTGTTTGGTGAAGATGAGAAACCTCTTTGTTTCTGAGATGCTTTTTCATCCCTCACTCAAAGTTTGGCTCAGCACATAAAGGGAGCCTGCTGGGACTGAGCCTAAGGCCATTCTGCTTAATTTCAGCAAGGAACTGGTCGCTGTATTTGCTGCTTTGTTAGAAGATGGATTGGGCTGGCTTGCATCTGACCAGTTGGTCTTGTTCAGTGGCAGTCAGAGATCTAAGTAGCCAAGGGTAATGGAGAGGCTGTTTTCTGTGTTAAAACCAGGCCAGGGATAACAGTTCCCTACCAGTGAAGGATCATTGCAAATATTACCAGCAAATATTATTGCTTGTTGGTATTGCAGCAGAACTCTCAGCTGATCTGATGCTTACAGCCTTGGAGGAAAGCATTAATTAGGCTGCTAAATGATAGCTGTGATTAGGGGTATCCAAGACTGTAGGGATGAGGATGCCCTTTGGGATGTGGAGCAGCAGGAGAGATTGCCTCTGCTGCAGTGAAAGGCAGCTACTTCTGCCAGGTGAATGGAAGACACTGCCCGGGGAACAGGCAAAACCCAGCCCTAGGGCAGCAGGGTGCTGGGGCTTACCCAAGCCTCTTGCCAATGATGGTCTGGAGGAATTTTCGGGCTGAAATCTGCCCCAGGAATTTCCTGTAGTTGTCCGTGAATATGGCATCAGCATGGCGCTGCATCCTGGGGAAAGGAAGCACAGTGTGCTCTGTGAGCTGACAGTGACAAAAAACTGAGCAGCCCAGGTGTCACAGGGCTGATATCAGGGCAGGTAACCGCAGCAAACACCTGGTAGTGTTGGACTGCATTAGTGTTGGAGGGTAAATGGATTTCTGTCCTCCTGACAGGGAGGCAGCAGGCAAAATGAAATATCCAGGGCAGGGCAGGGCTGGGCTGTTCCTGTGCTCTGCAGCAGCACCATCACCTGGGAGGGCTGTGTCTGGGACACAGTGGCAGATCTCTAGCCTGTGGTTAGACCCAGGCTCCAGAAAATCCACAGGTAAGGGAAGCACAACCACTGGGCTGGAGCCACTGTTGTAAGGATGAGACCTCTGTGCTTCAGACAGAAATAATCATCCTCTGTCTCCAGGCAGAGATGGAAAGCAGGGGCTCTAGCATCCCTGCAGGTAGATTCCCAGAGCTCAGTGGAAAATTCTGCTCCCTGCAGGAGCCCTGGGCCTGCGAGCCTGCCCCTGTCAGTGTGTCCTTGCTGGTGGGGACAGCAGGACATGGCTCTGGACATGGGTGATGGTTTGGGACTAACTGAGCTGCTCCCGGGCTGGGGTGAGACTGTAACCAGCACACTCTGCAGCAGCAGGGCTGGCAGGTGAGGTACAAACCTCTTCTCAGTGGGGTCTGATAACAAACCCTCCTCCTCCAGCTCCTCTGCCATGGGGTTGTGGCTCTGCAGGGAGCTGCTGTGCTGCAGCTGGAAGCTCATGGCCTTGCCAGCAACCGGCCCTGGACTGAACCTGCAAGAGAAACCCCAGGCACACTGTGAGAGGTGCTCAGATGCCAGCTGGGGCTCAGTCTGCTTAACCATCTTTCCCTGCTCTCCTGCTTGTTCTTTCTCCATTTGTCATCCCATCTTAGCAGTAACACAAATACTGCCTGTCACTCTCCCCAGCTAGAAACTGCCCTGCAGCTCTTCCAGCAGTGATGGTTTATAGATGGTTTATAGAGCTGCCTCAAACACACATCCCCCTCACTGAGCTCCCAGCAGCCTTGAGCAGAATCCCACTGTTTCTGGTGTCATAGTGCCATGGCTTTGGCACAAGGCTAAAGCATTTTCTATGGGACATTGCAAATCTACATTAGAGAAGCCAATGCTCAATTTTGGGCTTCTGTTGAGTTGCAGAGGTACAAAGCAGAATTGCAACTTCTAAGACCCAACAAGGAAATACTTGAAATATTAATAGGTATCTGTAGATTTCATGTACTAGAATATCTGCAGTTCTGACTTCAATGCAGGTGCCCTGCAGCCACAAATTTTTATCAGTGTTTGGGCTGGAGGTGCTGCCTGCTCTGGAGATTGCCAGATTTCCCTTTACAGAGCCCAGCATTCAATTCTAAACCCAACTGTTTGGGCTGAAATATCCCATCAGGTGCCTGCCTCCTTTGGAAATCACCCCTAGGCCAGCAATGTACCCACAAAGTTAAGACAGGGCAGAGAAATAGGCCTGGAAACACATTTAGAGCTCATCTGGCTTTCAGAAGTGCTGGCAACTTCAGTTTGGCACCTGCTTATTTTGCACAAGGTCAGAGATGAGGCAGGGTGAGAGTGTGGATCAAGCACTCAGCACTTACCTGAGAGCTGGGTAGAGAGGGGAGGAGATGGAGCATGTGACCAAGTGCAGGAACAGGAGCAGGGTGGCCTTATCCAGCATCTTCCCTCCCTTGGAGTCACCTAAAAGGCAGAGCAGCCTGAGTCGGGGCACTGAGGGGAGGCTAAGTGCCACCTTTGTGCTCTCAGTCCCTCTGCTCATTTCTCAGCACAAAGGGACTGGAAATGTGCCTCTGAGGCTGTGCTGCTTCCCAAGGCAGAGGGGCTGTGTGTGATGCCCTGGAGCTGGTGCCTGCTCTGTCAGGGTTTGAGGCTGGGAGGGCAGTGGAGGAGGCTCTCTCCTGGGCTGGTGTGAGCCCAGGAACCCCTGCAGGGGCTGTCAAAGCACCTGGATGAGGACAGCCCTCGGCAGGGATGAAAGGAACCTGCACAGAACCTTGTGCAGCCAGCCCTGGGACCTCTCCTGCCCTGCTCACATGGCTGTACCTGCAGGGCACCGATCTGTGCCTGGGCTGCCTCACTGGCTGTCCAGAGGCTGGGGAGAAACAGGGAAATCCAAATAAAACTCCTGGGCAGAGGGGTAACACTGGCACAGAGGTACCCCTGGCAAAGCCATTCACCAAAGGCTGAGCTTGGTTTTACAAACAAAACACAGACTGTCCCCTCCGTGGAGGGGGGACTGGACTGAAGTGTGTCCCTTTGGAAGGGCTGTGCTGCTGCTGAGGAGAGCAGCTCCCCCAGCTCCGGCTTTGGGCGAGCTGAGCTGAGCTGAGCTGCGTGTCCTGGGCTCGGCTCAGGGGCTGAGGATGACTCAGGCCGGAGTGCCCCAGGTCACCCACCCTCGGGGCTGAATGCCGGAGCTCACTCCGAGCTTTTGTCCCTGGAAGCGAGCAACAACAGGAGGAAGGTTTTTCAGTGAATGCTGCTCTTCCTGAGCCTCCATTGAAAGCGACTGATCTTCTGCTCAAAGAAGATTCTTTAAGAATGTGGATAGGAACCTTTAAAATACCAAGTTTCCCTGCTCCCTATCTTATTATACACAAGAAAAGAGCAGAAAGGTGTTTGATCTCCCTGAGAGGAGGAAAAAAACAACCCTCTTCCAAATGTATAACGATACTTCCTTGTAAAAGGAGCAGCTTCAGATGGAAAGGGTTTGCTTGGACTTCTGATTGCCCGAGTGAACTTTCAAGCAGTGGGTTTTACCCGTGGGGGGAGGAGGGAGGGAGGGAGGGAGGCTCTCTGATGGAAAACATCATCAGTGAGCTCTCTTTTCTGCTTGGACAGAACAGGGCAGCACAGAGAGGGGGAGGCTGATTCAGGACCTGAGGTCTTGCAGGTGGGTTTGGTGTTGACAGCAGGGAAGTTAATAACGGAATTAGGGACAGACAGACATGGAAAAGGCGTCCCTCTAAGAAATGGGGTTCCTTATCACCCAGTCATTCTCACCCAGTCTCTGTTTCCAGTGACTTGTGCTCCCAGATGGGACCAGCAGCTTCCCCAGCGTTTCCCCTGGGAACAGCACAGTAGCTCCTGGCTCCTGCAAAGCTCCTTGTGCCCATGGGTGGCATCTCCTACCTCCTGCACAATTGCTCTGGCCCCCCAAAGAGCCAAGGAATGCTTCAAGGGACTTTAATAGATGTACAGGACTTCTGCTTTTAGAACAAATCCCCTGCTTCCCTTTGTTTTTTGACTTTTTCATTTGAATTTGGAAAAACATGCTGCTTCTGTGCCTCTTCCCTAAATCTCTTCTAGAAAATCCCAAATCAGATCTTTCTAGATAGAGGAAATTATCTAAGGCATCTATCAGTGGGTACCAGCAGACTGTGGCACCAGCATATATAGAAAGTTCCAACCAGGAGATTTAATCAGCATTAGAGAGGCTTCTATGTGAGCTGAGAAGTTAAGTGCCAATGTAAATGAAAACCTAGCCCAACATTGTCTGCTTCCCCTTCCTCCTCCTAGCATACAGCCCTGATTACGACTTTCTTGCTGTCTCTGGCTTCTCTTTAAATGTTGGCTTTTTCTCTAGAATTGCTTTTTGAACATTTCAGATCCTTTTTTTAATTATTATTTCTCTACTATTAGTTTCTTTGCAATTATTTTTTTGGTTTTTTCTGGCTTTGTCCTTCTTCCCCTATCCTGCTTTGTCTTCTCTCCCTTAGCAACAGCCTGCTTCCAGATTTTGGGGTATGTCTGTCTCCCTTTTTCCCTCAGGAATAAATCAGAAATGAAAGTTCTGCATCCCTTCCCAGATGTGTCTGCTATTTCAGAAGAGAAGCTGGGAAATTGAAGTGTCACCCTGTGTGCAGGCAGTTTGACAGCTCTGCAAAACACTGTCACCTTCGAAATTCTCTGAGGTGAGGGACACCTTCCCTTCCCATTCTGGCAGCATGAGAAAAAATGATTAATAAATAAATCCCCTTAAGATGAAGAGCTTTAGCACCATTCCAGCAGATGAAGTGTAATAGCTTTGTTCCATCCTGTGCAGTGGGAACAGCAGCATTGTGACAGTGATGTTGGAGAGCTGGGTATCTGCCTCTGGCCAATTCTGAAACCTCAACCTGAGCAGTCTTCAAAACACCTCTGTGTAGATGAAATGAAGATTTTACCATGCCTGCTGTTCTACAAAGACAAAACTTTCATACCCTGAAATGCTGGATTAGAAAAGCAGAAATCCTTTTAAGTGCCTCCCTGTGCCTCGTCGTGGCTGGCTTTGCATTACCTGTAACACAGAGTTGTGTTCCTCCTCACACTTTGGTTGGGCTCAAACAGTTTCACTGCTGGATGAGTAAAACACCGTTCATTTGCCAGGGAAAAAGAAACTCACATCAACATAGCAAAGGAGAGGAACTGTGCCACATCTAGAAATCATCTAACATGTTTTATAAAGCTCATCCATAGTATAATTCCACTGGTTTGCATTTATGATGTAGCTCAGTTGTTTCATTCTATAAGTTGATACAAAAACATGTTGGTATAAATCTTGGTACGGTACAAAGGCACCTGGCAAAGCTCATTCCTGATGCCAGCTTTGATTGCATTTCAGCAGAATTTAATTGTCCCCAAATTCCAAACAGACATTATCTTGTTAAACGCACGGAGAGAGGCTCCCACTTACCGTTCCTGGAGAAAACAAGCTCTTCCTGGATCAGCTCCTGCCCAGCTGCTCCTTCCCCTGTCGCAAATCCCACTTCTCCTGGGGAGCTGCCTCCGGGAGCCCGCAGGGAGGGCACTCCCGGACCTGCCGGTGTCCTCTGGCTGCCGGGGATGTGCTCTCTGCCTTTTATACCTGAGCTCCCTCAGGACTCCTGTGGGCTTCCACGCGTCACAGCACCAATTATCCTCCTGGATTTCAAAGGCTGTGTTTGCATCCTCTGTGTGTGTGTGTGTGTGAGGAGGGGGCTGTGCCCGTAGCCCAGGGTCATTTGCACGATTTCTCTTTATCCCTCTAAGAGTGAAGAGCAAATAACAGCAATAATCTGGCAGAGTGAAGGACAAATTCACTTTGCTAGGTAAACTTCGCTTTTCCTCTGCAATGGCATTTTTTCCTTCTAGCCCACAATGAGAGTGAGTTAACCATTAGTACTTTCTCACACTGCATGAACAGGAGAGTTGATCTTTTTTTGCTATTTTATCTTTCTTTGATTATCAGCCTTTTCCTCCTTCTCCTTTGTTACTCACACCTGCACCAGGGGGGCAGTTCATGCCTCAGTCCCTCACAAGCCTCACAGCTTCACACCAAGCCCACAGAGCAACTGGAGAGCCCTGCTCCATTCCTGTGCTCTGCACAAAGGCAGGGTGTTCCCTGGGGTGCTGCATCACTGCCAGCTGTGCTCATTCCAGAAACAAGGTTCATGAAAGCCCCATTAAAACCAGCACAGAGCCTTCACACCAAGAAGACCAGGACAGTTCAGAGGAGCTCAAAATGAGGTGCCAGCATGAGCTCCACCTGCCAGATTTTTCATATTGACTTTACAACGCCCAGAACTGATGGGGATGCAGCCCGTCCTGTCTGAGGGCTTGCACGACTCCATGATGGGAAGAAGTTTCAGCAGGTGAGACGACTCAAGTCTGCCTGCTGCCAAACACCTTCACCTGGCACCACAGTGGCATCCCAGCTGCTGGTGGCAGGGAGGGATTGCAGGGGGGATGGTGCAGCTGGGGTGCACAGGGGTCCCTGTGTGTGCAGGGGGTCAGAAGCCTCCAGTGATGGTCTAACTCTGTTATTGCCACTCATTGCAAATCAGGCAGGTATATCATCTCTCACCCACTGGAGATGGGGATTTCTGGGCAGCACAGAGCAGGTTTTCCAAAATCCCTGTCCTGGTGCACACCGCTGCATGCAGTCCCTGCAAACTGGAAAGGGATTTTTGTTGTTAGCTTTTTTGGGTCTGTTCGTGTTCTCTCATGTGTGAGGCCGGTTGCACTAATTTTTCAGCATGGCTTATTTTTCTTCCACTGTCTCGGTGCTGCACTGGCTGAACAGATGAATCAGATCAAGCTGTTAAACCAGTCAAGGGCCAGTGCTATTTCAAGGTATTATCTTCTAGCCTGGTCTTGAGCTGATTCTCCATCCAGCTGGCCCCTTGCCTTACACAGAGCTGCATATGATACCAGGCAATATTTCTCTGATCAGGGAGAATCAGTAGACCAAGGGAAATCAGTCTATAACTGACTAGTTTATAGTGCCTGCTGCTCAGCCTGGGTTAGGAGAGCTGTGGTCTGTGTTCACATCCCAAGTGAGCTGCTTTCACAGAAGGCTCCATAAAGCTCCATCATCCCGGGGCTTTCCTTCTGCTGCCCAGGCTGGGTTCCTGCCATGCACAGCTGGACCCAGCAAGACCCGAAAGAATGGCTTTGGGTTAATCGAAGGAGGCAGCAGAAGTTTCTAAAAACCCTCGAGGCTCTGTTGGGTGCATCCAGCTTAGGAGTTCTGCAACAGCGTAAATAGAGCAGCGTTTCTGTCCCTGGGATTTCCTGTCCCAGCTTCAAACAAAACCTTCCTGTCTTCCCAGGACCCAGAAAGGTCATTTTTGGAGCTTCTCCACCAGGCTCCACAGGCTCTCCCTCTGATTTGTGCAGCTGCTTCTGCAGCAGAAATAGTGATGC